CTTTTTCCAATTCTAGAATTGAAAAGATAATGAATAAGTTGCACCTCGATTGAGAGTTAACTGAGGTTCAACTTATTTCTCATCTTTTTCCAATTCTAGAATTGAAAAGAGATAATGAATAAGTTGCACCTCGATTGAGAGTTAATCATCAATTGTGAAACTGGGCCTTAGTCGTACAAGTTGGCTATTAGTCAACTTCGCCGATAAACTTAGGACTACCGATTACCGGCTCATCGTAGAATCATCAGCATAATACTTATTCTATCAGCGTTGGCAAATCTATATTGATAAGCTAACTTCTATGAAATTATCAAAAGTCTTAGAACCAAAACAAATTACGTAATTACATTTTAATTATAAATTTAAAATACAGGGTGCGCGTACTAAATTCCAGAAAATCTCTCATCCGCGTTTTTTTGCAGAGATTGTAAAATTCGTATCATTGTCGCACGATCGCGAACTTCTAACGTCACGTGATTCACGGCCTCTCCCCGTCGATCCTCAAGCTCCATCTCCGACGGGTCGTCATCCCCACCACTTTATCACCTATCGGAATGCGGTTCAAAATTTACCTTATAATGGCCGATCGGTTGTTCGGATAAACGAAAGTTGACTCCTGTCACCAATAGCGACAACTACGTGACAGAAGCTGCGTCCAGCTGCGTCGTTTCTAGTGAATGTGCACTAATTCGAGGATTCAACTTTCACGATTTAGGACGAGCACGCGTGCGAACGTCGCGTAAGTGATCCGGCGCGATCCGGTCACGATCGGCGACCGTCGGCGATATCACTCTTGTTCTTTTTTCGCTGTCATTATTCCGAACAGAAAACTACAGAATGGTTGATAAAAATGAGCGCGCATTAGTCGACAACGACGCCGCGAGTGGCGATGCTCGGAAGCGCGCGGTCGATGCGCGAAATTCAAACGATCTTTTTTTGGCAAAAAGCCCCGTCTCGTGTAATTTTTATTAATTATTTGCAAGCGTATATTAGCTATTTAAATGACCGTTTTTATTTATCTTAATTTCTTATCTTATCATATTTTGTTTACGGTGCGTTTGGGAAACACAGTGTCAATGCTGTTGTCATCTTAATTGTTCACTAGACAAGATGACATTATTTATTTTAATATTAGCTTTTTGTTCAGTTGTTCCACGTCTAATAAATGATAAAGATAGAATGACATAATAGTTTTAAGACGGTATGCTTCGTAACAAAATAATAAATTTGTTTTCTATAGTTGAACTAGTATACACTTTTTGAAATATTTTTTTAAACACTTAGAAAGTAAAATATATATATAGATATGTATTTAATATCTGACAAAAGCAAGAAACAGAGTTTTAGTGTAATCTAGTACAGGAATAAAAAACAAACTTAAACAAGTATTTATAGTCCGTTCTTATTTCAAGACCGTCTTAAATAATGTCCTATTCGTGATTGGCTTATAAAATTTTAAGATTGTACTTAAGATGATCTTAAATATAAGAACTATGAATCGACTAATCCTTAATATAGTGTCAGCTTGTTTACTGGGGAGAATTATAGAATGAGACTCGATCGATAGCACTCTTTACGAATTTAATTCTTAAATATATTTATCAAGTTCCACCGTCACATCAGACATTTGGAGCACTTTGGCATTCTCTGTCGCTTCATCTCGATCTTCGAGTGTTTTTTCAAAGCTGGAAAAAACTACAATGAATAATTTATCTTTACTTTGTGCTTATCGATCTACATCTATTTTGCCATGTCGATACAGATTCGAGATTTCTACTCACTTATCGTCGCCGAACCGATATTGATCGGCTCGAGCTTCAAACTTTGCATTTCCCGTAAGACCATCGCATGAAAGGAGAGCGCGGCAACCCGCGTAAACAATTCGAACACCCCGTTACCCGTTCTTGACGAAACCGCCCAATATTCCGCTCGCATTCTCCTCGCAGCTTCAATCGCCCGTCTTTCGATTATTTCGTATACTGGATGAGTCTGCCGTTTCCCAAAATAAAAAGCGATTAATAAAAGACAGTATATTCATAGTCAATTTTTACATATACATTTTTTAAGACTGTCATAAAGTTACAACAACAATCTTTATGAGCCTTTTACAATAACTATTAGTCATAAATCAGAAAGTCAGAAGATAAAAATTGACTAATCACAGTCGTCAATTTTTAACTTTTGACTTCTGATTTATGACTAATGGCTTATTAAAGAAGGCCTATAAAATCAAATTATTCTCTGACTAAAGTTATAATCTTAAAAACCAACTTATATATTAACCAATCACAACATAAACAACTTAAGACATTACTTAAGACGGTGTTAAATATATAAGAATACCAGCCTACGATTATCAATACTTACTAATAGATCTTTTTTAGTCCCGACTAGAAAAATATGATGAGGACCAATGTTGCTGCGACTTGCCTCGTTCAACCATTGCTGGCAATGCGTCAGTGACATCAAGTTTCCCAAATCGAAAACGATCATGATTACTAAAATGAAATAACACGCGTAAGAATTGTAAGACAGCTGGATGAAATTGTGCACAGAAAGATAAATTTTTACCATTAGCACCGCGATAATAAGACGCCGCTATGCACTTGAACCTTTCCTGACCTGCGGTATCCCATCTGCAAGTGGCATTTCAAATTACTATATTACATACAATTAACGCTTGCACGAGAAGAACAATTTTGTTTAAATATCTTAAAATTTAGCTAAGATATCTAAAAATTTATTTAGGTGCTAATTTGAAAATAAGTGCTAATTAATAAATTATCAAAATAATTGCGTAGGATGCTCAAGCTGATTGCTAGAATGTCAAAATTTTTTGCAGCATTATATGAGTTTTCTACATAATTATTTTGATGGGCCAATAAAATTATTTTTAGACCTGTATCTAGATAATTTTTTAATATTTCATAAAAATCATTCTGTCGGTGTAAATATTTCTGAACACATTGTTGACTTAAATTTATTATATACATTTGCAAATGAAAAGGCACGCCAAGGATGTCGAATCTCTCCACCTCGAAATCCACGCCGATAGTGGCCTTGTAATTGTTGTCGAAGAGCCTGTGGCAGAAGCTGCGCAAAGTGATCATTCGTCTTATTGTTCAAGTTTTTAGGTCGCGGAAAAGCCATCAAATTGACTCCGTAAAGAATAATCAATTTTTTCAAAGTTGTACTAAACGATGGAGATCGTTTGCCGATCAATTATTACCGGTTCACCAATGATGTCTTGCCGACGGCGACGTCGCCTATAACAATCACCTTAGAAATTCGGAGAGTCAAGCTCTTGTTCTCGCAAGTCCGTCTGATTAAAGTGCCGAAATCATTCTCGTTATATGGTGTGGTTTCAGATGAGAATGGTGGTGGCCAATCGGTTATCTGTCAGCGAAGATCACAGTCTATTTTTACTCATAAAGTTGACTTTAATTTTGATATGATTTAATTTTTATTTTTTTCTAAGGATTAAAAAAAAGTAAATTAAATCAAGATTAAAAAATTAATCTACATTATGTCCATTTCTACTCACTAAATTTTTTAAAGAATCTCACTCTAAGTAAAAACTAAACTAGTCTTGAAAAAGAGTGACTCAATTTTCAATCTTTAAAAATGAAATTTCACTCTTCAGAGTAATAAAAGATTCACTCTAAAAATAGAAAGTATCAATATATTATATAGATAAACTTCAATCTCGATTTAATTTACTTTTTAGTCTTTTCTAGTTCTTAGAGGTAGAAATAGTTAATCAAGATTAAAGTTAATAGAAAAAGGCGGTAGATTACTACAATGTAGATTAACTTCAACCTTGGTTCAACTTACTTTTTATTTTCTTCTAGTTATAGGTATTAGAAAAAGATGAAGAGTAAAAGTCGCGAGATTGAATTTAATTACATTAATAAAAATGGACCAGAGGAAGACACGGTAAATCGTTCGAGCATCCAAAATTAATTCGAATAATTCCTACCTGCCTCTCATCATTGGCTTCTTCTTTCATCATTTTGTAAGTCGCGGAGCGCGTTTCCAACATCGTTCTCTTCAAATTGGAGCGCTTGATGAAACAATAAGAACGCGCTCTCTTTCTCCACACACGTATCACTGTAATTTTTGCAGTTGCATATTGTTGATTACGTTTTGTTTGCACACTCTTCGAGACTGATCAAAGCTTGAGTATGATCAAAGACTCACTGTTCAACGTTCAATGGTTTGGAGTAAAACGCAATTGATTCCGCATGACTAAACGGGAAACATTGGTTGCTGTGGCAGGTGTTTCATTGTGACATATGGGGGAGACTCATACGGGCGTAATTGTGAAAACTAACGCGTCTGGAATAAATTATGTCAATAAAATATATATATATATAATGAATTTATCTCTTATTCAGTAAAAATATGTCGTAAAAATTTCTATAAAGATATATACAAAAAATATAAAAATTTCATAAATTGTTCTATTATTACGTTTAAGTATATACATGTGTAAAATTTAAACACACAGTTCTCTTATTAATTTAAAAGTTATTTAATTTTTTGTTTGTTTGTTTTGATTCTAATAAAATCGCGTTTTACGCAGTACTTTAGTATTTGTAAATTTGATGAAAAAGTGTAACATTAAGAATTAAATTAAATTTTGAAATGTCATAATATATATTAATAAAACAATAATAAATATTCATGCAAAAATTTATTCAAATCCACTTACTCGTTTAAAAGTATTGACCTAAAACTGCAGTAAATGTGGCCATTATAAGCCAAATTATTTATTATTTTGTTTTTTGCCATTGATTTAGGATATATAATTTTAGATTATCATCAAAATTTGTTTAATATTGGCTGATATTACCTAGTTTCTTAATATTTTTAGCATAAATATCGCACAGCCAAAACGATTCCACCGGTTGAACAAAAAAATCACTACTTGATCCGGAATTTGGACGGAGTCGCCCTCTTCCTTTTCGTCGATCAACTAACGTAGTTGACTAACGTAGTCGGAATTTGCATTTCCGCTACAGACGAGGATTGACGTTCTTTTCTAGCAAAATGGCTCCGAAACCGAAGCCCACGGAAAAGGCAGGTAGGTTTAAAAGTAATTCGTGATATTCGTCTTTCCTTCTGAGTGCACGTTTTTAGACTAAAAAAACGTTTTTCGAAATCATCGCTCAATACAAATGTAACGCATCAACGTCGCGTAGTTCGGGGTCGAGGAACCAGAACCATGTGGTCGATCATACGCACATTTTCTTACAACTTGTTTACAACGATGATGATTCTCAGAAGAACGTTTCATGTGATTTCGTCCACCGGTTTTTTATCCACTGTGTCCGCGAGTCTCATCTGCCACATTGCTTGTTCAGTATTAATTGATGTAAGATTCGCGTGTACCATAACCTATGAAGCCTAATCTACAATGTGCTACAATTTGCTTTTTACCTCTGTTTACCACTTGTTCTGTTTCTTCGTTTCTTATCTTCCAAAATGAAAATTTACAAACTTTGGGAGAGATAAAAAACATGTGACAACAAACACAATTGTCACTAAAATGGTCGCAAAGAGAAGACGGAAAGGAAACAGGGAGTCGATTACGTATTTTGAGACAATATAAAAATTACAAAAGTGAGCAAATTCATTAGGTGTTGACTGTAATGAAATTATAAATACTTTGAAGTTATAAGTACTAGTGATTTTGCTCAATTTTGTAATTTTTACCTTATTTCAAGATACATAATCGATCAGCAGGAAGCAAAGAGCACGTTGTGTAGATTAAAAAGGTAGACTAGAGAAAGTAGAGAATTTTACTTCAAAAGTACTGTATTTTTGAGAATAAATTTACTTTAGATCTTTGTTTTTTTTTTATGTATCCGTTTGACTATTGTCCAGTTCTATATCACTTTCTTTTACAGGTAAGCCTGCAGAGAAGAAGACAGAGAAGAAAGCTGAGAAGAAACCAGCCACAGCAGCAGCGTCTACTTCGAAGGTGACAAAGCCTGCG